TCTGCAATTTCTCACTTCTTTGATTAAATTTATTCTTTGGCTGAAGTTTTTTCTACAGACAAGAGGCAGGCAGATGGCATGTGGTGGAGAGAGCAGTATCTATTCTAGGAAGACTCCATAGGATCCTGCTCTGTTTCATTAGGATAAGCCATTAAGAAACTGACAAGCAGAGGCAGGGTCAAGCAAGGGGCTCAGGACTCTGCACCCAGCAACAGAGCCACCCTTAGTGAGGGGCCCTTGTGCTCATTCATGTTGGCTACCTCCAGCTGCTTTTGCCACCCTATGCCAGTTCCAGAAGTTGCAGCCCTGGACCTGCTTGGAGAAGTGGCTCTGACTGTAGGTGACAAGGATGCAAGTGGACCCGGAGCCCTGGGAATCACCGTGCTGCCCACCTCACCAGAGTGCCATCAAAGCAAATCTTTTCAGCTTCTCTCTGAGTTGCAGCCCAGACACAGAGCATCGGCTTGTGGAAACTCCCCAAATGAACTGTGACATATCAACAGTGCTAAAGGGGATAACTTCCAAGGACAGTACCAGGCAGAGAGAAAACAGAAGTGACAAATGAGGCAAGACAGAGAAGGAGCAAAGCATGCAGGTGGGCTGGCCACACGAGTGCCCTCAGAGGTGGGGCTGGCCTCTGGCCTGAGCCCTCTCTGCCTCCTGTCCTCAGGGCAGAGGTAGTGCTGGATGAGAGGTGGCCATACTCTATGTCCTTCTTCTGTACAATGAGGGATGCTTCCCCACAAGAATCTGTATCTGGAACCATCCAGCCTGTCAGAGAACAAGGCTGTGTGGAAGGGAAGCCAGCCTGGAGGTGGTGAGAGCAAAGCAGTCTGAAGTCCACAGCATCCAGTGGTCATGTTCCAGGGTGGCCTCCCTGTTCCCGCCAGCTCCTCCAACAAGTCTTATGGTGATCCAAGTCAAGGAATCAGTGCCTGGTGATGGCGGGGTAGTGACACAAACTCCCAGGAGGGAACCACATCTTAGCAGTCTCTGTACTCCTTGCACAGAGTAGAAGGGCAATAAAATATTTCATGAACCCCTTGTGGGTTCTGCCATATCTGGGGGACAATTCAGGAATTAATGCATCTAGGAGGTACCCTGACATTCCATGGTCTAATTATATTAATAAGTTCCAATGGTTTAAGTTATAAAGCCTAGGTGTACTCCAATCCCAGATTCTTCTATTTTTTTCCCACTCAGTCTAATCCTTCTTTTCAATCGTGACATATCCTCTCTTCTCATTTTCTTCTTTGTCTCTTGTTTCTTCCACTGAGCACCAGTAAAATAGATTTGGTGTGAATAAAAATTGTGGCAATTTATTTTGATAGAGGAAAATAACTGCAGTTAGATCCCTGATAAGACTTACCAAGTCTAAGGAAACACACCATAAGTGATCATCAGAAAGTCTTTTGTTGTTTTCAATTCTCTCACAGGTCCAAAAATTGGAGGTCTGAGATGGATTTTCAGTGGGAAATCAGCCATAACACTGTTCCCTCTAGTGTGAGTACACTGTTGCCAAACAGCAATTTCTCACTTCTTCCTACTGCAAACACACATAGTGCTGCTGGAAATAGTTATTTCTCTCCTCTCCCAGCGCAAAGATGTGGATATGTTCTATACACAGTGGGTATGTGCATTTTATATGTATAGTTTTATATATATAGTTTTTTAGTGGATAAGTTGTGTCTGACTCTTTCTGGGACCCCACGGACTGTAGCCCGCCAGGCGACTCTGTCCATAGTATTTTCCAGGCAAGAATACTGGAGTGGGTTATCATTTCCTTTCTCAGGGGGTCTTCTTGACCCAGGGATTTAACCCTTGTCTCCTGAATTGCAGACAGATTCTTTACTCCTGAGCCACAAGGGAAGCCTATTCCACCCAGGGAATATATATAAAGTATTTATTGCTGCTGCTGCTAAGCCGCTTCAGTCGTGTCCGACTCTACACCACACCAAAAATCTTCTCTCAGGTCTAATATAGGTAATACAACTTACCAAATAACTATAATCACAAACTACTTGAGAGAAGGAAAGATACAGAACACTAATGAAATATGTCATGCTTATTTCTTTTTAAAGAAGTACCAGAAAAAGAAAGGTCATTTGGCACACTTCTAGTGAAATCACATAATTTCTAAATTTTATACATGCTTTCAGGAGAAGAAAACTGTCAGAGGCAGGAGGAAAACTTCTGTTAGTCACTTGATGATTATGATCACAGGAGAAATGGCTCATTACTGCCCTAAATATCTTACTAAAATTCTAATTAGGAGACCTGGGTTTTGGCTTAAAAAAAAAAAAAATTTAACCTGCCACTTAGCTGACTCATGTAATTCTGATATTTTTCAGTAAAACTTGGGTTCCTCTGAAAGACTAGAATTTAGCCCATTTTAAAATCTTTGTCCACCCCGGGTAGATAGATGGTTTTCAATGGATTTGGTATCATTTACTTATTTTATTTTATTTTTTTTTGAAAGGTAGTACCAGGACCATTTTATTTAGTGTTGTAGGAAATTTTTAGGTTACTTCTCAAAAACAAAAGCAAAGAAATTCAAAATTCCCAAAGTAACAAGGCAGGAGATAAGAATTCTATAATTCAGAAAAGCTGGGTGGTGAGCTTTCAATCAGAGGGAGGAAGAGGTCACGTCAGTAGCTCACACAACAGCTACGGAGGAAACCACAGGGTTGAGATTGGTGTAGAAATTGGAGGTTAAGCTCTCCACGCCCCCGAAGGCAACAGATCCTTCAGCCTGGAGGAACCGTTCGTTAGTGAATGGGTCTTAAAGAGAAGGGGCACGGGGGGTGAAAATTGTGCCTAATTTTACATCAAGTTGCCTCTGGCCTTCAATCTGGCAGGTGGCTGAGGGTCATGGACCCTCCCCACTCTGTGCCCTTCTGAACCCCCGCCGTCAGCAGAGCTGGAAACCACACACATGTGCCACTCACTGCCCACACACCCTCCACTCCAGGTCAATGGCTGTTCATGTGGTGAAGGGCAGACTTTCTTGCTCTTCCTTTCTGCTACCTGGGGAGGCTGACCCACAGGAAATAAAAGGGGTGGGCAGGACATATGTCAAAGCCCAACGACAGAGATGATATGAAACAACTGGGCAAAGGATTGACTTTTTTTTTTCCAGATGCTGACCTCCAGTGGAAGGTCATCACACACTATTTGGTATTTTATTGGATGCTTCTCTGAAGTACTTACTGGTCTTCTGGGGGCAGGGGGGCAGGGGGGCAGCCAGGGAGGGCCAAGAAAGAGCTGCTCCTGCTTCTGCAGGGCGTGGCCTCCTCCCAGGACCCATCAGTTCAGTAAGCATTCTCAGCAGCCAGAGGCTAAACCAGACTCTCCTGGTTTACACCTAGACAGCTGGGTGTAAGCCCTCAGACCCACACCGGCTGCAGGAGCTCCAGCCCTCCAGTCCACCTGCCCCTGTGAACAGCTCAGAGCTGGCTCCAGCTTTCCCAACTGAGTTCTCCCTCACAGTAGAATCCTCAAGGACAGGTGTTAACCGGCGTCCTTGAGCGGTGCGGGAATGCTACCTGTGGAATTTTTTTCCAGCAGTTGGTAGAAACCAGACACTCTTGAAGTTGATTGTCCTTCATTCTCCAGAGTTCTCGAGTGGCATCTCAGAGCAGAGGAATTTGCTCTCTTAAACACGGACCGGGTCCCATCCCCGAGGTCCTAGCAGCAGATCTCCCACAATGAAAAGTTCTTGGGAAGAACTCAGGTCTCCACGTGAGCTCTTCCCGGGAGAAACCACTCAGAGCCGTCACCACCCAGTGCACGAGGGTTTATCACAGTCCAAGTACACTGATATCAAGTAAAAAAACATTGCATAACAAATATATACATGTGAGGGAGGTGGGAGGGGGGACCGGGATGGGGAATACATGTAAAAAAAAAAAAAAAGATACACTATGGTTGTGATAAAAAAAATAAATAAATAAATAAATTAATTAATTAAAAAAAAAAACAAATATATACACGTGTATCTCCGAAGTTCAAGCGAACATCCAGTTCTCTTTATAGGGATGTAAATAAATCTCGTAACGCTACAAAAATAACAAGTCGTCTGAGAGGTTTACAGTGGTCCCCAGTATGTAGGAGGGTATTAAATAAAACAGCTATCGATAATTAAAAGTGAATTAGTTCAATCAAGTTACAGTATCATCCTTCAGATTAAAGTGCTCTAATATTAACTAATGTGGCAGCAAACGTGATCCTGAGAAGGAATTCCACTGCCAATCATTTTGCTTCTTAACTTCAATACAACAAGAATGAACACAGAGAGAGTTCCGTTTAATAACTGCTCTCTCCTCAAGCCCTGCCCACGCCCTTGGCCTATGACATTCTCTCCCGAGGAGAGATGTCGGGATTTGATGAGATTCTGTCTCAACTGGAACAAAAGAAAAAAAGAGTAATATAGAAAACATTCTAATATCGGGTTACTAACAATGAAATTACCTGGAGAGTCTGAGTTGTTTAGTCGCTAAGTCATGACCGACTCTTTGCGACCCCGTGGACTGTAGCTCATCAGCCTCCTCTGTCCATGGGATTCTCTAGGCAAGAATACTGGAGTGGGTTGCCATTTCCTTCTCCAGGTACTTATTTTATTAAAATCCTAAGTTCTACTGAATGACGGGTTCTCTTGATAGCTGGGTTTGGCAGTATTCCTACCTTGGAAGCTTCACTGATTCCTGAAGCTTCTCAAAATGCCATAAAATGAGAGAATAAACGTGGCAAGGTGGCATATGATATAGCTGTATTGTTAATTCCTATAAATATATTTCTGAATGAGTGTATTACCTTCTTGAGTCAGAATCTATTTTGTTTAGGAAACACTTTTCCCAGGAATTTTGAGCCAGGAATTCTCTCATAGAAACACAAACTGTTCCCTTGTGTTGTGCCTTTCAGACTCTGCAGGAGTGGAGCAGGGTTGCTTCCTCTCCATTGCTGACCTCTTCTCTGCACGGTCTCCGCTTCCTTCCCTGCAG